AATCTCTCCACACAAACAATGAATGCAAGAAAAGCCTGGGAAAGCACCATACGAGCCCTGAGAGCCAGTAACTGCCAACCCAGACTGATATACCCGGCAAAGCTAGCATTCACATTCGATGGAGAACTGAAAACTTTTAATAGCAAAGAAAAACTAAATGCATACATAAACATTAAGCCAGCATTACAAAGAATTCTAAGAGGGGGGACACAACTTGAAGAAAGCAACCAGGAACTGGGACCTGCCCCAGACAGGCATTACTCAAAGTCTAACTGAGCAAGCACAGGAGGAAAGGAAAGAAGAAAAACTTAGGAAAACGGAATGGCAGGGACAACAATGCATCTCTCTATACTTTCTCTTAATATAAATGGGCTGAATTCGCCAATTAAAAGAAAACGAACTGAGGACTGGATCAGAAAACAAGACCCATCCATCTGTTGCCTTCAGGAGACCCATCTCTCAGCCAAACATACAAACAAACTCAGAGTGAAGGGATGGAAAAGGATCTACCAATCAAATGCCCCCAGTAAGAAAGCAGGTGTAGCTATCCTGATATCTGACAAAATAAACTTTTCATTAAAATCAGTACAGAAAGACAAGGACAGACACTACATATTAATAAAGGGAACAATCCAAGAGGAGGATATAACCATCATCAACTTATATGCCCCAAATATTGGTGCACCCAGATATGCCATACAAATGCTCTCAAACTTACAGAATAAAATAGATCCCAATACGATAATACTAGGAGACTTTAACACGCCACTCTCACCAAAGGACAGGTCTACCAACCAGAGGATTGGCAAAGAAGCTACCGTGAGGCCATACTTCAAGCAGAATTAACTGACATCTACCGAGTATTTCACCCTAAAACAACACAGTACACATTCTTCTCAGCAGCTCATGGAACTTTCTCCAAAATAGACCATATCATAGTTCATGCAAGGAACTTAAGCAAATACAAAGGGATCGACATAATCCCCTGTATCCTATCTGACCACAGTGGAATCAAGCTAGCTCTCAATAACAAAGCATACCGCAGAAATTTCTCTAATACATGGAAATTGAACAGCACACCTGGGTAACAGAAGAGATCAGAGAAGAAATAAAGCATTTCCTACAACTCAATGAAAATGAAAACACCTCACAAAGAAACTTGTGGGACACAGCAAAAGCAGTCCTGAGGGGCAAATTTATTGCCCTCAGTGGCCACATCAAGAGAATGGAGACAGACCAAGTAAATAATCTCATGTTGCAACTAAAACAGCTAGAAAAACAAGAAAAAATGGGACCTAAAGCTACTAGACGAAGCCAGATAACCAAATTAAGAGCAGAGATTAACCAATTAGAAAATCAGAAAACCATAACCAAAATAAACCAAACAAAAAGCTGGTTCTTTGAAAAAATAAACAAAATTGATGGCCCGTTGGCAAGATTAATTAAAAAAAGAAGAGAGGAAACCCATATTAATAGGATTAGGGATGCCACAGGAAACACCACAACACGTACTCAAGATATCCAAACAATTCTAACAGACTACTTTCAAAAGCTATACTCCCTAAAGGAAGAAAATCTGGCAGAAATGGATGCATTTTTAGAGAAATACAAGTTACTCAAACTGAGCAAAGAAGAAGTTAACCAATTAAATAAGCCAATATCCTATAATGAGATACAGGAATCTATCAAAAGTCTTCCAACAAAAAAAAGCCCAGGACCAGATGGATTCACAGCAGAATTCTATAAGACCTTTAAACAAGAACTAATACCCATACTCCTCAAGCTCTTCAGAGAAACAGAGAAGGAGGGAGCTATCCCAAACTCATTCTACGAAGCCAATATCACACTCATCCCCAAACCAGGCAAAGACCCAACCAAAAAGGAGAATTACAGGCCAATTTCCTTGATGAACACAGATGCAAAGATCCTTAACAAGATTCTAGCTAACAGAATCCAGAAACACATAAAAAAAAAAATAATACACTATGATCAGGTAGGCTTTATCCCAGAGACACAGGGATGGCTTAACATACGTAAGTCAATAAATGTAATCCAACATATCAACAGAGCCAAGGTCAAGAATCACATGATTATCGCCACAGATGCAGAAAAGGCCTTTGATAAAATTCAACATTCATTCATGCTAAAAGCTCTGGAGAAAATAGGAATAGAAGGAACATTTCTAAAAACAATAAAAGCCATTTATGACAGACCAATAGCCAATATTATACTTAATGAGGAAAAGCTACAACCAATCCTCCTAAAATCAGGAACAAGGCAAGGATGCCCACTGTCTCCACTCCTCTTCAACATAGTCCTAGAACCCTTAGCCAGGGCAATAAGGCAAGAAAAAGACCTTAAAGGGATCCGCATAGGGAAAGAAGAAGTTAAACTATCCCTTTTTGCAGACGACATGATACTATACCTCCACGATCCCAAAAACTCCATCCCCAAACTTTTAGAAATCATAAGTCACTTCGGCAAAATAGCAGGATACAAAATAAACCCACAAAAATCAGTTGCCTTCCTATACACTGATAACGTACAGGAAGAGAGGGAAATAAAGGGAGCAACCCCATTCACAATAACCTCCCAAAAAATAAAATATTTAGGAATTAACCTAACCAAAGATGTAAAAGAACTATTTAATGAAAACTATAAAAAGTTAAAGAAAGAAATTGCAGAAGACACTAGGAAATGGAAAGACCTCCCATGCTGTTGGATAGGCCAACTTAATATAGTAAAGATGGTAATACTTCCAAAACTAATATACAAATTCAATGCAATTCCTATTAAAATCCCAATGACGTACATCACTGAAATATAGAAAACAGTCCAAAAATTTATATGGAACAACAAAAGACCTAGAATAGCCAAAACAATTCTAGGGGATAAAGACAATATGGGAGGGCTATCCATGCCGAACTTCAAACTCTACTACAGAGCTATAATCACAAAGACAGCATGGTACTGGCACAAAAACAGACCTGAAGACCAATGGAACAGAATAGAAGATCCAGAAATAAATCCACAGGCCAACAGCCAGCTGATATTCGACAAAGGAGCCAAAGACATACAATGGAAGAAACACAGCCTCTTCAACCGCTGGTGCTGGGAAAACTGGGCAGCCACATGCAGAAAACTAAAAGTGGACCCCAGCCTATCACCATGCACCAACATCAACTCAAAATGGATTAAAGACCTTAAGATTAAACCTGAATCTCTGAAACTACTGCAGGACAGAGTAGGAGAGACACTTGAACTAATAGGCACAGGAAGGAACTTCCTGAACAGAGTCCCAGGTTCACAACAAGTTGGAGAGAGACTCGACAAATGGGACTACCTTAAAATAAAAAGCTTCTGCACAGCTAAATCTATCGCAACTAAGCTAGAAAGACAACCAACTAATTGGGAAAAAATATTTACCAGCAATATATCAGACAAGGGGTTAACATCCTGTATATACAGGGAACTCAAGAAACTAATCCCTCCCAAACCTAACAAACCAATTACTGAATGGGCAAGGGAACTAAAGAGGGACTTCACAAATGAAGAAATAAAAATGGCAAAGAAACACATGAGGAAATGTTCATCATCCCTGGTGGTGAAGGAAATGCAAATAAAGACAACCCTGAGATACCACCTTACCCCAGTCAGAATGTCCCACATCCACAAATCATCTAATGCTGGAGGGGATGTGGAGAAAGAGGAACCCTATTACACTGCTGATGGGAATGTACACTTATACAACCACTTTGGAAAGCAGTCTGGAGGGTCCTTAGAAAGCTAAAGATTGACCTCCCTTAGGACCCAGTCATACCACTTCTAGGCATCTACCCTGAACAACAGGAACCAATATACAAGGACACGTGCACCTCCATGTTTATTGCAGCACTGTTTGCAATAGCTAGGATATGGAAACAACCCAGATGCCCCACCACAGATGAATGGATCCAAAAATTGTGGTATCTATACACAATGGAATATTATGCAGCCATTAGAAATGACAAAAATAAGGGCATTTGCAGGGAAATGGATGGAGCTGGAAGGAATCATGTTGAGCGAGGTAAGCCAAGAACGAAGAGACAAACGGTACATGGTCTCCCTGATAAGTGGATGCTAAATCCAAAATGTTAGGTGATACGACAAAACTAACAGGACTTAAGAAACAAAGAACTCCTGCTCATCTGGTTGAACCACTACTAAATATCCCCATGCTGCTGATCACAAATATGGTATATAACATGTGAACACTGTTATATATTACAGACTGTGGTAGACAATTTGCTCCAGGAAAGTTAGAATGAACTTGTGACTTTGAAATTATGTAATCACTTAATCACAATCAAAAAAAAACAAAAAAAGAACCTCGGGGAAGGGAGGGAGGGAGAGGATGGTAGGGGGAAAACAATGGAGGGGGTAACAATGTTCAAGAGGAAGTGTACTCATTTCCTCACTCATGTAACTGTAACCCTCTGTATAGTATCGCTACAATAAAAAAAAAAAATCTCAAGTGTTTCTCTGAATGTCCAGTATTCTAGAGTTGTGTGGTTCTTTGGTGTGGGCTTAGTACCCCAGCCCAAAATCCTTGCTGTTTCTATGGCTTAAGGGTCAAATGACATCGTTGCTGGTCCTAACTCAGGCAACATCATTCCGGTACTTCCAGGAAACCAGTGTGAGAGAGAGGCTACTTGCCCACAGTGCTTTCAAGGGCTCCTTCATTGCAGCAGGGAAGCAGGGAGCCTGTGAGAAAAGCTAGTTTAGGGTAGTCCTGGAGCAGTTCTTGGGAGGAAACACTCTAAAGGGGTGGTGCGTAGCTGATACTCCAGCGGCAGGGGGCGCAAGTTTCGGGGCTACTCCGGGCTGGAGGCCTGCAGTGCCTCCTAGGCCAGGCATGTGGTCGGGTCTGGCCTCCAAAACCCGCTCCCCTCTGCTCCACCCCCATGCTGCCTCCCTCCCGCCCTCTCGGTTAGCCCCGGAGGTGCACGGCGCAGGCGCGGATTAGAGCGGCAGCGAGGCTAGCGCAGCCTCCTCAGCCTCCGCAGCCTGTGCCTGCAGTTCCGCAGGGCTGGTGTGGGGAGCACGGAAGGCCGAGGCGCCGGCCCGGTAGCGGCCCAAGAAAGCGGGAGGGCAGGAGCTGCGTCGCCCGCCTCTGTGTGGCCCGTAGGCCTGTGTGCTTCAGCTCCGGAAGCCACCGCTATCACCTGGGATCTGCGCTTGGGCGGACGGAGCCCGTGGTGCGGAGGAGGTGAGTATGTTGGAGGAGGTGAGTGTGCTGGAGGAGCGGTCAGTCCGCCGGACTGCAGCCGGGAACGCGAGCGGGCGGGCCCCTCTGTCTAGGCGGGCGGGAGGGGAAGAGCCGGCCGGCCGCTTCTTTAAACTGAAATCCTACCAGAAAGTGACCAGCTCCCTGCCTCATCCCGAAGACTGGCCCATCCCCTGCGGACGCCCAGGCCCAGCGTCCGCTTTCCTGGTGGCGCCCTGGGTTGGGCTTCTGGAGTCCCCTGGGCTCCCGCCTCTGCTCCGGTCCGGACTTGGGACTGTGGTGTGCGGTGCGTTGGACGGCCCCGGGGGCCTTCCCGTGGCGCGACCTGGGGCTGGCGAGCTGGACCGGGCCGTCTGCCTGAACGCTGACCCCGCCCTTCCGCTTGGTTTTGCGGGCAGGCAGCCTTGGACGCGGACATGAGGAAGTCGCAGCAGTTCATTTCAGAGTCCTGCCCGGCCGCGCAGATGGCTATTCTAATTCTTACTGGTCATGTGCTTTCGTGAAGACTCACTCTAAGGCCGACGTGTGCTGAGCTCTAGTTCATTCTTGACTAAAACATTGTCTTCTTTCAAAATACGGGAAGATAATGTTTATTGTGAAAAGGAAAAAGAGAGCTCTTTTTTTTAAACTCACTAAACAGCCAGCATATTATTGTATAGAGACATCTTACACCAATTAAAAAGGAAGACTACTTTTACATCGTATGAAAGGCCTTTAAGAATAAGGTTGGTCTTTATTTTTCAAGAAGTGCTGACTGCCTAGTATATGCATTGTGTTTTGTACACTGATGCTTTTGATGGTTAAAAAAAACAGTGATAAGATGCTAACGTTTTTTATGAGATGTCCCATTTAGAAAAGTAATGTTTCATATGTCATGATCTCATATTTTGTGTGAAAAGAATATATAACTCAGCAGAGGAAAAACTGTACTAAAGTATTAGCAGTATGGTTTTTTTGTGTGTGTGAGTAATTTAGGTGATTAAAGAGTGTAATTGTCTTGATTTCTTGCAGTGATACATTGTATATAGTTCACATTTAAGTGGGGGAGAGAGGGTTGATAAGTTCTCTGTGATACACAATCTTTCTAGTAAGAGCAAATGTTTATATGATGTCCTGAGTGAGAAGTTTTTTGCATATAAAAAGCTCCTGAAAATGTTTACTTAAATTAGGGTATTAGTAATTTTGGTAATGAACATATTCCAACTACATATCTAGATATAATAGACATTCAACCATAATGACAGTTCTAATCAGCTTCTGGATTTTATTCAGCATTAAGAAGGAGTCAAACTCTTCCTCTTCCTGATCAAAGTGATTTTGCTCTTCTTCACTTAGTCTGAATCCAGCCAGCATGCAACATTAATTTGGATACTATGCCTGGTTCCCATTCTTTACTTTTTTATTCAAGTTCTAAACAATTTGAAAAAGTCACTGAAATAATGAAGACTATCATTTAACAGGTTTGGCTGGAAGTTTTTTTGTTTGTTGGTTGGTTGGTCATGGGGCTTGAACTCTGGGCCTGGGCGCTGTCCCTCAGCTCTTTCAGCTCAAGTCTAGCACTCTTACCACCTGAGTCACAGAGCCACTTCTGGTTTTATGGTGGTTTATTGGAGATAAGAGTCTCATGGACTTTCCTGCCCAGGCTGGCTTTGAACTGCGATCCTCAGATTCTCAGCTTCCTTAATAGCTAGGATTACAGGCACAAACCACCGGCACCCAGCTGGCAGTTTCTTTAGTATTCTTCCTGGTTACTTTTCATTTATTACAGAAAGATAAAAACAGCTACACACACACACACACACACACACACACACACACACACACACACACACTTGAATGGCCTGGATTAGAGTGGTAACTCAAAGAAGGTTTTTATGTTCTTGGGGTGAAGCATTTTATATAAATTTAATAGTTGTCAGTATGTGATTGGTTTGTGTGTGTGTGTTTTAGATTACCATCCTCTCTTGGGTGGCTAAGAACTGGAAGCAAGTGTAACATGCTGGTGGCAGTACTTAGCAATAAAGATTTATTCACATATAGCTGTTCAATGCCCAGGAATCAGAGGCAAGTATTTTTCATCTCTGGGTCTACAGCACTCAGTTGACTTGATTTTCACTATCTGTTTCTTATCAGTAAAAGGAGAATTTGGCAATAAGCCATTCTGAATGCCTCATACAATTCTTAAGAAAATAGAATTAAGAGGAATATGCTTAATAAACTTTTCTTACTATTTGGTAGAACCATGTGTAGTGCTGATAAACCAAGGATTTAATGAACTACCAAATGTATTGTGTGCACCTCAAGTTCTAGGGCTACACAAAAAATGAGAAAATCACCTTTGTGATAGGAAAAGTGGTATTTCTGTATCTAACTGTCCCTTTTTCCCACTGCTGCACTGGACATCCTGATTTGTGACAGAAGAATTAGTTCTTCCTGATTCTGACATTGGACAGCTTGAATTGGCTCAGTTACTTTATAATTGTTTCCAAAACTGATAGAATTGAAAACATGGATTTTTTTAGCCGTTTTTGTTTATTTATTTATTTATTTTTGGGTCCGGTCGTGGGGCCTGACCTCTGGGCCTGGGCACTGTCCCTCAGCTCTTCAGCTCAAGGCTAGCGCTCTACCACTTGAGCCACAGCACCACTTCCCGCTTTTTTCTTTCTGCTTATGTGGTGCTGAGGAATTGAACCCAGGGCCTCAGGCATGCAAGGCAAGCACTCTACCACTGAGCCACCTTCCCAGCCCCTTTAGCCCATTTTTGGTGGCCCACACCTATAATCTTACCTACTCAAGAGGCTTAGATCTGAGGATCATGGTTTGAAGGCAGTCCAAACAGGAAAATCCATGAGACTCTTTTTTTTTTTGCCAGTCCTGGGGCTTGAACTCAAGGCCTGGGTACTGTCCCTGAGCTTTTTAGTCGAGGCTAGCACCCTACCATTTGAGCCACAGCACTACTTCTGGCTTTTTCTGTTTATGTGGTACTGAGGAATTGAATCCAGGGCTTCATGCATGCTAGTCAGGCACTCTACCACTAAGCCATATTCCTAGCTGGTAACTCTTATCTGCAATAAACTACTCAGAAAAAGTGCTTTAGCTTAAGTGGTAATGTTAGCCTTTAGCACAAAGAGGCTCAGGGACAGCATGCAGGCCCTGAATTCAAGCCCTAGGAGCAGCAAAAAAAGAAAACATGGGTTTTAAAAATTGATTAGGTCATATTCAGATTTCAACACCATCCCTAATTGAATATCCAGATTTAACTTCTCTTTATATGCTTTAGTTTGCTAATCAATTAACATAGTATAAATATGATTTTGAGAAGTGTGGATTTGAGATTAGTGGATTGCTCATAACAAGATTAAAATATGTTCACATTCTAGTGTATAATTGGTGCTCAATGAAATGTTATTTTAATGTATACAATGTGTAACTTCCATGGCTCTAATTGTGTTTACTTTTGTTTGTTTTTTTAATGCTAAATAAGGTAATGCTTATTTACATTCCTATTTTAGTATCAAGATAGAGCTACAACTTTAGAAGTTCATTTCAAAAAAATGAAAAATTTACAAGTAATCTAGTATTTTTATTCTTTTTTTGTAAACATATTTATAACAAATTTGTCATCAGCTATTTTTATTCTTTTATCTTAGAAATAAGTCACATGTTTGCTTATATAACTTCTCTTATGTTTCCCATATAGGTCTTTTATTACCATCTGTGGAACTTCCTTATAATTCATTCTTCCTCACTGGAATATTAAGAATTATACCAGGTTAGTAAAATATAGTGAAACAAGTTCATTTTTATCACACTTCTTAAGGATTTAATTATAAGTGGTTGTCAAAACCTATTCTGAAGGCTGGGAAGGTGTCTCAGTGGTAGAGTAGCTTGCTTTGCATGCATGAGGCCCTGGGTTCGATTCCTTAGCACTTACGTAAGTAGGAAAAGCCAAAAATGGTGATGTGGCTCAAGTGGTAGAGCAGTAGTCTTAAGCTGAAGAGCTGAGAGACAGCACCAAGGCCCAGAGTTAAGGCCCCACAACCAACAAAAAAAAAAGAAAGAAAGAAAACAAATCAATGTCCTTTCTTTAAGTTTTATTAGAAAAATAAAATATAAACATAAGTATTATATAATGTAACATTTTTCTTTGTGTGTGTGTGTGTGTATGTTTTTGTTTTTCTGCTTATGTGGTGCTGAGGAATCGAACCCAGGGCCTCCTGCATGCAAGGCAAGCACTCTACCACCTTCCCAGCCCCCTGTAGCATTTCTCTTATGAGGCTTATTTTCCACATGTTACACACTAATTTCTTACTACCAATAAATACCTCAAAGAATTTGAATAATACTCTTCTTTGTTCCATGTTTATTAAATGTTCTCATTTTTTAGGTGGAAAAGATATGAATGAGTATCCTAAAAAAAGAAAAAGGAAGACTTTACACCCTTCTCGTTATTCAGGTTAGTATATAATTAAATTGAGGTTAGATCAGGGTCCATTATCTCATAAATGACTAAATGAGACTGATATATGGATCAGTTTTTGGGTAAGGAAACACTTTTGACTAAATTCTCTGAATATATATTCCTTACTGTTTACCACGTACTAGCCATGTGTTAGAACTTTACAAACTTTATGTAATCCTCATAACTCCACCAGTTATAGACACTTACATTTAGATATCCAAGGTTACTTACTCATGCTTTTCCTGATTCCCAACCTACATTTAATAAACTTTAGTAGAAAGTATTTTACATTATTAAGGAAGCAAACTATGTTACTTTTGGAAATACGAGCTTTTCTTTTTTAAATTAAAATTTCATTCTAATTGATGTTGGTTCTGCTGTGTTAGCAGCTGTGGCCACTCCAGCTCTTAATATACATTATACATACTTAGGACACTCTCAAATACACTTGTTACCTTACATTCTTCAAATACAAAGAAATTAAGCCTAATCTACTACTTATGTGTACGTTCCAGAAAAAAACTTAAAATGACTATGTTTAGGAGCCTCCATTGGTCCACACCATTTCCCTTATGTAGTATGGTTTCTTTATACTAAATGGCATAACTTCCTGCCAATTCCTAAGAAGCTAATTTGCTATTTTGTGCCACTAAAACACAGCATGATCAGGCGCCAGTTGCTTATGTCTAGCTACTCAGGAGACTGAGATCTGGATCATGGTTCGAAGCCAGCCATGGCAGAAGACTCTTATCTCCAATAAACTACAACAACAACAAAAAAAAAAACTATAAGTGGAGCTGGTGGCTCAAGTAGTAGAACACTAGCCTTGAGCAAAATAAGGTCAGAGACAGGACCCAGGTCCTGAGTTTTAGCCACAGACCCATTTTTTAAAAAAAGAAAGAATGCATATGTATTATATAATATCTATAATATAAGTTCTTTTAATGGTAAATGTGAATCCATAGCCTACTCAGGGGACTACTACCTAGTAGGAGACTTATAATATCTGAGTATGGAGGTTTGAAGCCAGCTGGGACAGGAAAGTCCAAGAGACTCCTCTACCCAATTAATCAGCAAAAAAAGCCAGAAGTGGAGATGTGATTCAAGTTGTAGACTACTATTCTTGAGCAGAAAAGACCAAATTTGAGTGCAACACCCTGAATTCAAGCCTCAGTAGCAGCGTATGCATACACGTGGGTACACACACACACAAGCTAAATGTCATTATGAGACTGAATATAAAAGCTTTAGATCTTGAAAATATGTTTATTTAAATCATGAAGGTTTGAACTAAGCATGTAGGTCAGGTCAATAGTGAAACATTTGTCTACCATGTACAATGCCCATGGTTTGATTCTCAACACTAGAAGGGGGAAGGAAGGAGGGCTAAAGGTATGGTTCAAATGGTAGAGCACTTGCCAAGCAAGCCTCAGGTCTTGAGTTCAAACCCAGAGCTGCCAAGGAATAGTTTTCACAAAGTACTATAAGATACATTATTTAATGATAAGTCATTAAATGATTATCTTATTAAAATTTTTCATTCTGTTTTATGTTCAGATTCCTCTGGAGTAAGCAGAATTGCAGATGGATTCAATGGAATTTTTTCTGATCATTGTTACAGTGTCTGCTCTATAAGACAGCCAGACTTAAAATATTTTGACAACAAAGGTATGTTTCATATTTTCCAATTTTTTTCCATTTGCTTTCTACAGGGTCTAGGGGTAAAGCTATGTGCTAAAGTCCTTGCCTAGCATGTGAAGGCACTGCAAAAAATATTTTTACTTTGTCCTCATTTGAAAAGATAAGTGAAATGTAGGTTGATTGTTTCAAAGGAGACAAGGTTTTGAATTTACAATAATATACGGAAAGCTATTTTGTTTTTAGAAAATACCACTTTATTTTACAAGGGGAGATCTCATTGTGACCTTTCCACACATGTATACAATGTAGTTCAATCAGTCTCCACACTTGTATAATTCTCTCTTACCTTCATTCCCCTTCTTAAAATAATTTCAACAAGTTTCAGTTGCTCTGTTTTCATACTTACCAACAATTTATTTCAACCTTTTCCATCCTCTTTTTACCCTGGAGCTCTTTTTTTAACTTTATTGCAGTACCTACATATAGAAAATTTTATCCTCTTAATTATTTCTAAAATAATTTTCCTTTTAAAGTACACTTCTAAATCCTTTTTGGTGACTAGGCAATTAATGGCAAAGCAGAGGTGACCCAGGGTTGGGAACATTTTTGGTAAAAGATTAGGAATCATTTTATTCACAGTTCTTCTGTTCAGCTATATTTCTCAGTCTGGAGAAGGAAAGAATGGCAAATGATTTGGTCTTTTTCAATCTTGAATTTTTTATTTACTTTTTCTAGGGCACTGAGTGATAACAGCTATACTTTATTATTTCTCTGCAGCTACTAATGGGTCCCTGTTACAAAAAATATAAATTGTTGGGCTGGGAAGGTGGCTCAGTGATAGAGCACTTGCCTTGCATGCATGAGGCCCTCAGCACCACATAAGCAGAAAAAATAAAAAAGCCGGAAGTGGCGCTGTGGCTCAAATAGTAGATGCTAGCTTTGAGCTGAAGAGCTGAGGGACAGCGCCTAGGCCCAGAGTTCAGGCCCCACGACCGGACCCAAAAAAATAATTAAAAAATTTAAAATATATACATATATATATAAAGTGTAAAAAAATTAATTTAATTTTTCAAAATGTAGTTAGGAGCCAGGCACCAGGGGCTCATACCTATAATCCTAGCTACTCAGAAGGTTGAGATCTGAGAACCACGATTCAAAGCCATGCAGGTCTGGAAAGCCTATACAACTCTTCTCTTTTTTTTTTTTTTTGATTGAACTCTGGGCCTGGGCACTGTCCCTCAGCCCTTCAGCTCAAGGATAGCACTCTATAGCACTGCTTCCATTTTTCTGAGTGGTTTATTGGAGATAAGAGTCTCATGGAGTTTCCTGCCTGGTCTGGCTTTGAACCGCCATCCTCAGATCTCAGCCTCCTGAGTAGCTAGGATTATAGGCATGAGCCACTGGCGCCCAGCAAGTCTGTAATATTCTTAAAACCAAAAGTGGTGCTGTGGCTCAAGTGGTAGAACAGTCACCTTGAGCACAGAATCTCGGACAGTGCCCAGGCCCTGAGTTCAAGCCCTAGAACTGTTAAAAAAAAATCGTTAGGCAGAGATATTACTTAATAAAGAGTCAGATGGTTATACACAAAGATGTTTATAAATATATGTGGTAGTGTACACACACTTTTTTTTTTACAGTGTTAGCTAAGCATGCCTAAAAGAAATGACATCTCAGCAGTGATGAGCACATTTATTCCCAAATCTTGATTTCTAATACCATTCTCACGTAAAAAGAACTAAGGTCCCTGGAGAAATAATTGTTTCTTTGTCTGGATCTGATAAGCTTGGATCATCTTAACAATGCTTGAAAATTGAATTACAATTCAAAATATAACTTGAATGTCCATGATCTGTATTGATACTTGAAGAAAAACAATTGAACAAATAATTTGGGGAGAAGATGAGTATCTGTACAAAATTCTAAATTATTTGTGTTGATATTTCTCCCTTAAGGAAACAGAACATCTTTCCATACTCCTTAATTGTGGGCTGCATCTAGGGTTTTTCTTTCAAAGGTAGAGTCTGTAAGTAGAAAACTGACTTTACAATAGAAAAACCTGTGTACTATCTTAGCCAAGGTGATCAAAGTCAACTCATAATTCCAATCTAATTATGTAAAAGAAATAGACATTCCATTATTGGGACATTCTACAAACTAACAAATAGTTCTCAGAATAATAAAAGTAGCCTAGAAAGACATAGTAAGCAAATGTAACATGGGATAGTGGGATAGAAATGGTCACTAGAGGAAAACTAAGGAAATCTAAGTGAGGTATTACTAAAGTAATAATATATCAATACCAGAAGTAATGCTTTAGTCATTCATTGTAACAAATGAACCAAAATATCTTTCTTTAAATGATCTTATAGTCCAATTTTTTTCATATGACCTATATCTCAGTGTCCTTGTGTTAACTTAAGGTCGCTGGGCCAAAGGATAAAGGCTCATTTGAACTCAGTAAAAGTAGCAAGTGGGAGGCCCTAAATGCAAACCCTAGTAGCTCACATACATACACAAAGGGTATATAGTCCAAATGGAGCATACAACTTGAGCAGATTTTCTGTTTGTTTGGGAGATAGTATAGATAGTATCTCCTTTCATGGCTAAATCTAAATCCTTAGCTTCTCTGTTGGAACTCAAAATTACAATTTTATAATTTGCTTAGTGCTTCAATATAAATAGTATTTTTCCAAATCCTTTTTTACAGATGATGATTCTGATACCGAAACATCAAATGACTTGCCAAAATTTGCAGATGGAATCAAGGCCAGAAACAGAAATCAGAACTACTTGGTTCCTGGTCCTATACTTAGAATTCTAGACCACGCTGCCTTTCCTACAGGTTAGGAAATTAGTTAATAGCCTTGGCAAATTTTATAGAGAAAAATGAAAAAAAAATCAGTATATACCATAAATTTTTTTACAGTGTATCTAGATGGTTTTGTTTATAAATAGTAGCATAATAAGTTTGTTTTATTTTTCAGAAAAATCTGACATTGAAATTTGTGATGAAGAATGTGATTCACCTGAATCATTATACCAGCAAACTCAAGATGAGAGTCCTGTAGAAGTTCACACCGCAGAAGAAGTTCCTGTTGCTATAGAAGTGCATGCTATATCTGAGGATTATGACATAGAGACAGAAAACAATTCCTCTGAAAGCCTCCCAGACCAAACTGATGAAGAACCACCAGCAAAATTCTGTAAAATTATTGACAAAAGCCAGGCTTTGAATGTGACTGCCCAGCAGAAATGGCCTTTACTGAGAGCTAATAGCAGTGGTCTCTATAAATGTGAACTTTGTGAATTCAACAGTAAATATTTTTCTGATTTAAAGCAGCATATGATCCTGAAGCATAAACGTACTGATTCAAATGTATGTCGAATATGCAAGGAAAGTTTCTCTACAAACATGCTTCTGATTGAACATGCCAAATTACATGAAGAAGATCCCTACATTTGTAAATACTGTGACTATAAGACCGTGATTTTTGAGAACCTCAGCCAGCACATTGCAGACATCCATTTTAGTGATCACTTGTACTGGTGTGAGCAGTGTGATGTACAGTTCTCCTCAAGCAGTGAACTCTACCTACACTTCCAGGAACACAGCTGTGATGAGCAGTATTTGTGTCAGTTTTGTGAACATGAAACTAATGATCCAGAAGACTTGCATAGCCATGTAGTAAATGAGCATGCATGTAAATTAATAGAATTAAGTGATAAATGTAACAGTGGAGAACATGGACAGTACAGCCTGTTAAGCAAAATTACCTTTGACAAATGTAAAAATTTCTTTGTATGTCAAGTGTGTGGTTTTCGGAGTAGACTTCATACAAACGTTAATAGGCATGTTGCTATTGAACATACTAAAATATATCCTCATGTTTGTGATGACTGTGGCAAAGGATTTTCAAGTATGCTAGAATACTGCAAACATTTAAATTCACATTTATCTGAAAGGATTTATTTATGTCAATATTGTGAATACTCTACAGGACAAATTGAAGATCTTAAAATTCATCTAGATTTCAAGCATTCAGCTGAGTTACCTCATAAATGTAGTGACTGCTTGATGAGGTTTGGAAATGAAAGGGAATTAATCAGTCACCTTCCAGTCCATGAGTCAACTTAACTGTTCACTTTACATAATGTTTAAAAAATAAATTCAAGGGTTTTTTTTTATGTTAAGATGGATGGCTTTAAGCACAATGTAAGAGATTTACCTTCAAGTCAGTTTTTTAATTTTTTCTTGGCATTGCTAAATTTTCAGTATATAATGATACCTTAATTGTGATGTTTTCAGTTACACAGTAATTCATAGTTGTATTTCCTTTTGGTGACTTACCCAGTTTCTTTGCATGTGCTCATATTTCATGAATTGAAGAGTAACAAATGTACTGAAGAAATGACTGCCTTCCTTACCATAGAAGGTATTACATTTTCCTTTTTTTTTTAAACTCAAGCTTAGCTTTTTGTGTATGAAGTCATTAAATTATTGCACTACCAAAACTAAAATGAAAAATAGAGACTTAATTTCTCTTTCCAATCTGAAGTGTAGTTTTCTTGGTGGTTTTTCTTTCATTCTTCTTTCATTTTTTAATCTTCTGTCTGGGGAGCTGTGCACCAGTGCCTCAAACCTATAATCCTTGCTACACAGGAGGCTGAGATTCAGAGGATCACACAATTAAGTCCAGCCCTAGCAGAAAAGTTTACTAGACTTTTACTAGCAAAAATCAGAGCTGAAGTTATAGATCAAGTGGTAGAGCACCAACTTAGCAACAATGAGGACTTAAGTTCAAATCTACTACTAAAAAAATGCATTTCATATAACTCATCTTCATTTAAACAACTATGAATGCATAAACTGAATTACTGATATTAAATTTCTTACTGATTTAAGGAAACACACTAAATGATTAATAAATGTTAAGATTTGCTGGCCTGATAATGTACTTCAGTTAGTGATAAATTATTTTTACAATCTATATTAATTTCTGTGGCTGCTATAGCAAATCACAACAACTTTGGTTGCATAAATAGCAGAAATTTAGTGACTTACAGAAGTGAAGGTGAGAAGTTGTTCAAAATCAAAGTATTGGCAGAGATGATTCCTTCCAAGGGGTATGAAAGAAGGATCTCTTCCTGAACTCTGTCCTTTGGCTTGTAGATAGCTGTTTTCATGTGCACATGGTGTTCTCTGTTTCCAAATTCCTCTTTTTTGGGGGTACTAGTTATCTTGTATTATTATCAACCTCATTTTAAATTGATAAAGATGGTGAATGAGTAAAGTCACATACTGAGGTACTGGGGCTAGGACTTCAATATGAACTTGAGAACACATTTTAGTAATCCGCTTCTGAAATCGCATCAAGAAGATGCAATTATGTTTTTCATTGCCTCAAAATTTTATAAACACTGCTGCTAACAAAATTACTTCTACATATAATTGCTGTAATTAAAAAGACCAATTTGTAATGATGTTTTTACCACTTCAAGAGACATAGGGAAAGCCAATACCTGTAATCTTAGCTACTTGGGAGACTGAAATCTGAGGATCACAATTCAAAGCCAACCCAGGCAGGAAAGTCCATGAGACCCTTATCCTCAACCACCAAAAAGCTGGAAGTGGAATTGTAGCTCAGGTGGTAATGTTAGCCATGAGCAAAAGAGTTCAGGTCAGCACTGAGTCAGCACACACACACACAATGGCTAGGTGCTTAGCTCATGCCCTGTCCACACACACACACACACATACACACAATGGCTAGGTGCTTGTAGCTCATGCCCTGTCCACACACACACACACACATACACACAATGGCTAGGTGCTTGTAGCTCATGCCCTGTAATCCTAGGCACTCAGGAGACAGATGTAAGGATTGATATTTGAAGCCAGCCCAGGCAGGACCATCTTGTGGAACTCTTATCTCCAATTATCCTCAAAAAAAAAAAAAACAGAAATGGAGCTGTGGCTTAGGTGGTAGAGCACTAGTGCTAAAGGAAAAAGCTATAAGGGACAGCACTAAGGCCCCAGTGCCAACATAAAAATAAATAAGATTTAAGTGAACATAAATAGCTTAAGCCAACTATTAATTCCAATGGAACAGCAAGTTAGGTTAGGTTTTCCCTAAAATTAACACAATTTCATTCCTACAAATTAAGTGAGTTTGGGAGATTAAAGTTCCTTTGAAACTTTATTTTTATTATGGATTAATTTTTTTTTTTTTTTTTTTTTTGGGTCCGGTCGTGGGGCCTGAACTCTGGGTCTGGGCGTTGTCCCTCAGCTCTTCAGCTCAAGGCTAGCGCTCTACCACTTGAGCCACAGCGCCACTTCCGGCTTTTTTCTTTTTGCTTATGTGGTGCTGAGGAATCGAACCCAGGGCCTCATGCATGCAAGGCAAGCACTCTACCACTGAGCTACCTCCCCAGCCCTTATGGATTAATTTTTGAGGCAGGGTTTTGTGTAGACAAAGATGGCCTCCAATCTGAAATCCTTCCACCTCACTATAATGCCAGGATTTAAGTGCTTGCTACCACATCCAGCTACTTTTTTTTTTCTTGTTGAGGTTCAAATGCAGTATTTCATACGTGCTGAGCAATATTCTATCATAGACATTTTCCAGCCCTCAGTGACTATAACTTGAAATTTCTGTTTTTGATTTTTTTAACTAAGCTGCTTTTATTTGCAAATTTTATCAGTATACATTAGCTATTCAAGGGAAAATTTCATTATGACATTTTCATCCTTGTATGTAATATATTCCAATCAGTACCCATCTCCATCACTCTCTTACTCCCTCTTCCTTTCTTTTTTTTTTTAATTTTATTTTATTTTATTTGAGAACATACTGTACAGAGGGGTTACAATTACATGGGCAGGATAATGCATACATTTCTTACCAAGCATTGCAGCCTCCTCCTTTGTTTACCCTTCACCTCCCTTCCCTCTTCCTTTCTTATTACAATCTCAACTGTTAACCTGACTTCTGATGCTGCAGGTATCACTTTTTCAAGAAAGCATTTAATGGCGCTGAATGTATGGATTTACATAACGCTGTAAGAGCCTATGGAAAAAGATACAGGAGAAAGCAGCTGAATGTTGGCTTGGTCAAAAAGAAGAGCAGCCTCTAGGGAGCTATATTCTCCAAGGCAACTTTCTCCTTTCCTGGGCTACCAGCCCAAGGCATGTATAGCCTTGGCATCTGAAGCTCCCATGCCATACCATGCCTTCCACCTTCTACCAGGTCCCTTCAACTGCTGCCACATTAGTGAAGGAAGATAAGTAAGAAAGCTAGGCAAAGTACCTCAAGAAAGAAGAGGGGACAGGTACTAGCCTATAATCCTAGATACTCCAGAGCCTGAGACCTGAGAATTGCTAGGCAGCTAGAAAAAGTCCATAAGGCTGTTAAGTCCATTTAACCAGCAAAAAGCCAGAAAGTGGAGATATGGAGATACGGGGAATGCCAGCCTTGAGCAAAAAAGCTAAGAAACAGCTTCCAGGCCCTGAGTTCAAGCCCCAGTACTGGCACAATAAGTAAGGAGGAGGAGGGAGAAATGGACTACTTACTACTGGTCTCAAGAACCACAAGAAAGTGATACCTCAAGATGAGCAGTGGCAGTCCGACTAACTTTTCTCCCAACTCCACTGTTTGATGGAAATCACCATGAAGTTTCTACTTCTATGTTTAAGGGCTCTGTGACTCTGGGATAGAAGCAGACCTTGTGGAGACTCTGGAATAATTTGGGACAATACTTCGTAGTAACGAAGTAATGATATCATTTAAACTTGGCTCTTGTGAAATTTGGGTGGCATTTACTACAGAGGAGCCTGTGTACATTGCCAGTGGAAAGGCTTTTCACAACTATTAAGTAAAAGAATCACCTGGCTAGGAAATATTAATGTCCCATCATTAGTTCTGCTATGCATTCAAACCATATTTGGGAAGACTGAGTAGATACGCATTTCAGAAAATACTTAAATCTGCTTAAAGTTTCACAAGTAGTTAGATTACATTTTTCCTGAGGTGGACAAGTTAAATGGCAATCCTGTTAATGAACATTTATTGCAAAGGCCATGTAATGCAAGAAAATAGCCTTGAGCTATTTAACTCAACAAGAAGCCCAAAGAACTGCATTTCTCAAGCAGTGATGTCTGTCTATCTGAATGTCTGTCTGTCTGTCTCTCTCTCTTTTACAGAAAACTGATTTTAAATGATCCTAAAAGCTGAAAGTTTCTGCACTGCTTTCCTATAGAAAGCACTTCTTTGCTTGTTTTTGTTTTCATGTTTTTTTTTACAAATGTTTCACTCTTAATTGTAGACACAGCTCTATATTGAGTTTTACAAAAAAGCATGTCTTTCAATATGCATGCAAACAGTGTTCAAGGTAATATAGAATATGAGTAACATTTAACACAAGTCATCAGCTTTAATCTAAATACACTTACTGCTTAAGTATATCCCACAATATGACTAATTTAAGAAAAGCTGAAAATTGTTGAACATTTTGCTCAACTTTGCTATTACTTCCTAGATGACTTCTGTGTTCAAAAATGCTGAATCTCAGTGGCTCATATTTGTAATCTTAACTACTCAGGACGATAAGATATAAGAATTACAGTTCAGCCAGGCTCCAGTGGCTCATACTTGTAATCCTAGCTAGCCAGGAGGCTGAGATCTGAGGATCATGGTTCAAAGCCAGTCCGGGCAGGAAAGTCCATAAGACTCTCATCTCCAATTAACCACCAGAAGATCAGAAGTGGCACTGTGGCTCAAGTGGTAGAGCATTCACCTTGAGCTAGAGAGCACAGAGACAGCGCCCAAGCCCATAGTTCAAGCCCCAAGACCACCACCAGCAACAACAACAAAGAGTTGAAAGCCAGCCCAGGTAGGAAAGTGCATGAGACTCTTACCTCCAGTTAACCACCAAAAAGTTGTAAGTGGGGTTGTGGCACAAATGTTAGAATACTAGCCTTGAACCAAAAAGCCTAGGGTCTGAGTTCAAGCCCCAGAACTGGGACGGACAGACAGACAGACAGACAGACACACACACACACACACACACACACACACACACACACACACACAATTCCTTTATACACAAAATCTTTATAATAGCCCATTTCCATCAACAGAGTAAGTACAAGTCATTGTCTGGACTGCAAAACCTGTTAAACTGAAGTTTTGTTGGTTTTCTTGAAAAAAAAAAATAGTTGAGAAGAGTCAGTGATGAGGATTGATTACATTCTCCGTCTAGCACTCATACTGGACATGATAGACATTCCTCCCTTCCATTCATGCCCAGCTTCGACCACTGTAGTAGCTGTTGCTTACCACTCCTTGGCAATATTTGGTTGAAAAAATCACTGGTGTTTTCTTGTAAAACTTGGCTATTTCCACTCATGCTGCTTTGGTCACCATAATTGCCTCTATAGCCATCACTCAGTTGATGACTGGTTGGGCTACCATAACTGAACCGGTTTAATGAGCCCATCATGCTCATCACTTGGCTACCATAAGAACCAACTCTTGCTCCTACTATAGAATTCAGGAG